GGACAGATAGATCTGAACTGTGTGGGCATAAACAGAAGCATTTAAATAAGGAATTTGGTTTGGATTTGAAAAGCAGCAGGATGATGAGAACAAAGTGCTTCTGGCTTACGGGTATCTAGGGAGGATATAAACACCAATAACAGATAAACTATGTAAGTCGGAAAGCTCCAGTAACTGTCACCAACAGACAAGGTTCACTTGCCTTAGCTTTAATCTGTGAGCACAAGGGAGATTCCATTGACAGGAATATCAACAGCAACAATTCCTGGAGGATTTCCACTACACCAGGTTCTGGGGCTGCCAGCACTGATGGGTATGAGGAATCTGATGAGGAATTTCTGTTAAGGGACAGAATATGGCTAATGCCAGCCAAGTTGTACTGGCAAACAGATCTGCTTTAGCTGTCTGGCAGGGAAAGAGCTTTGGGAAGTGTTTGTGTAGCAATGTGTGATGTGCTGAAGAAATGCTGGGCAGGTCTAATGCTGGGGGCACAGAAAACCATGACTGGTGGAGGAGTAAATGAAGATCCACCCAAATGTACTGGCTCAGTCCTTGTTCATGCCATGGCTTTGAAGCCATGGGCCTTGACCAGGCACTGAGAGAGCTCAGCAAGACTTCCTTCACACCTGAGTCCAAATAGCTGCTGCTTCTCAGTCTTCTTTCAATTCAAAATCCCCAAAAGAACTACCAAGAAGGTAGCTTTAGACTGGACATAAGAAAGAATTTTTTAACAATGAGGGTGGTGAGGCACTGGCACAGGTTGCCCAGAGAATCTGTGGCTGCCCCATCCCTGGCAGTGTTCAAGGCCAGCTTGCATGGGGCTTGGAGCAACCTGGTCTAGCTGAAGATATCCCTGCCATGGCAGGGGGGTTGGACCTAGATGATTTTTAATGGTCCCTTCAAACCCAAACCTTTCTGCGATTATATAAAAGCTGTACCTAGGAAGGAACAAGTAAAAGGATTAGGATTCATGGTATGAGACCTGTCCATGGGAAAGTGGGGCCTGGGCCTGAGTTTCACAGGGTGCAATGCCCAGCAGTTCTGGCAGTGCACCTCCATTTCAGATCCCCACCTTTAGCTGGGGGTCCTTATCCCATTGCAGGCCTCGGTTTTGCCAAGCCTCCACCTTCCTTCCCCACATGTACAGCAGCACTGCTTCCCTTTGAATAGATGTGGCAAGCAGCAGTGCTGTCTACCCCAGTCCCTCTCTTTCCCCTGCCCAAAGCATGGCCAGGATCCCTCCAGGTGCTGCTATCACCATTTGTACATGGCTTGGTGTGCCGTGGGGTAGATTCATATAATTCCTGCAGAAACAGTAAGCAAAACAGTGTGGGCAAATAAGTTCTGGGCAACATTTCTTCATCCTTACAGGATTTCTACTTAAGGTCGAGGAGGAAGATGGGGAGTAGTGTTCAGTCAACCCATTGCTTGTTCCAAGGCCTGACACTGAAACACAGCTTCTTCAATCACTGCCAAAGCAGGAACCTGGGGTTTTATTATCTGGGTTGTGTGTCTGGTGGTGTGGAAGGCAAGCATCCTCCCAAGGGTGCTCAGTGCTGGTGCCAGAGCCCACGCACTTTGCAGTGGCCACAGTGCTCCCCACATCCACTTGCCTCAGTGGCTTCATGCTTCTGTTGAGCTGATTTAGGTTCACATCGTGTCACAAGTGGCTGATTACATTTGCACCTCTTGTCCTGCAAAGCCCAGAGCCAGGCTCTAAAATGTCTTTGGTAACTCAGTGTCTTTTACCTGACCCAGGAGAGAGGTGCTTTAGATAGAAATCTTATTAATGATGCAGTTGCAAGGCTCAGTGAAGTGGAGGCGCCTCAGAGTTCAGCTGAATAATTAAATGCCATCAATAAGACTTAACAGGGCCACTATTTAAAATTAATAACTTCAAATGCAATTCTGGCATACAATAGAACCCACTGGAATGGATTGCTGGCAATTTTACAGCCACCTGCCTCTCAGCCCCAGCTGATGACAGCTAGGAGAGGAACTGAATATATTTCTGAATATGTTTGAGCTCCAAAAATACGAAACGACTCCAAAACCAGCATCCATCCAGCATGCCGGTGCTCATGTTTAATGGAGTTCTAGGATGCTGACGGTTAAATCAAGAGGAAGTGAGGAAGTCCTGTTTGGAGAACCACATCTCCTCTGCCTAAGCAGATGAGAGGACAAGGGATCATTTAGGTCTGTAACAAAAGCTGTATTTTCTGAGAAACAAAATCTTCCCTTTCCCCAGAAAGTATCTGTCTTGCTCACAACTGGCAGGTTTAACCATGGTGAATGTGGTTAAGAAGTCAAGAGACCCATCCCTGGCTGTTTGAAGTTACAGATTTGCATACCTGTGCAAATATACAGTATGATAAAATGTAAGGTCCATGGGGAAGCACTAGAGCTTTTCCCCTTGGACAGCCTCTGAGCAGCACTGGGGACATCTCTGTGGAGCATGGGTTTTCTAGCTTAGCTGCATTCATCATCTACAGGAGCTCATCAAAGTTTGACTATGTGTTGTGTGACTTCTTTCCCCCTCCTCATTACCTTGGGGAAGCATTCAGCTCCTGCTGCTTTGCATATTTTGTAATAGGGGTTTTGATAGGAAGAACTTCCTCTGCTCAGGCCAGCTCCTCCCTGGCTGTCCTTGCATGCTGTCAGAAAGATGTGTTTAATACAGGCCATGACCTCTAACAGTGGGTAAACAGAGATAAGTGCTTCTCTTCCTAGTATTTTTCAGCTGTCTGAGTCAAGCAGCTGCTTGAAGTGTCCCCAGTGGAGGGATGTGTCCAGTTGTCCCATGGGAAGCAAAAGGATAGTGCAGAGTAGCAGCCTTGCAGGTTACACTTGCTGCAGATCACAGAGCAACAGGAAGCCTGCCCTGGCTTCAGAGATAATCTGTAGTGCTCATGGGCATCATGGGGTAGGTGGTCCTCAATAATGGTGCTGCTTTCTTTGCCTTTACCCGCACAAGGGAGCAAGAAAATCCGCTGCAAATTTGATGGTGGGATCAATTTTCCCTGCAGAGAACTTTTCTTTCTAGAAACATCATCTTGATTTAAAAACTTGACTTTGATAGCGACAGGCTGAGTGGTTTTGCATGTAGAGAGCTGGAAATGAAGCCACCAACCTGGCATCACAAAAGCAATTGGGCAAGATGGTGGGAGAAGAGAATTACTCTTTCCCCAGGAGGAATTAAATGTGCTGCTTTTGAAGTGGGGAAGGACAGTGCTCTTTTCTGCATGTGGAGAAGAGCTGTTTCCCAAGTGATGTGCAGGAAAAGACACAAAAACTGGGTTAGCCCAAATAAAAGATTTACTGACCCAATCCAGGGATGCTCTGAAAATAAATGAGTGCAAGACTGGAAAGTAACTCTAGATGGGCAAAATTTAGCAGCTATCTATAATCTGATCCCAGGGTCAGGATCTGACATCAACCACACAGGAAGGATGGGAAGAGTTTTATCCCCAGGTTTAGACCCCCTCAGCAGGGCCTGCTGGATCATAAGTATTCCTGCATACCTGTTCCCCCCAAGCCTGAGTCATGATCCTAGAGCCAAATCATGGGCCCAGATCCAAGGATTGCCTTTGCTAGTTTTGGGCAGCTCCTGAACCCTGCTTGTAGCTGGGTCTTACCTTCCTGTAGTCACACTTTCTCCCAGGCCCCTGTCCTTCCTGATCCTTCGTATCCTTTGTATTCACCAGGCAACACTGCTACTTTTTTCCTTACCCATGGTGACCTCATGCTCAGTGAGGCATTTAGCAGAATCCTGGTGAAGGTTTGTTAGGATTCAGAGGGCCTAAAAAGATGATTTTCTCTTGTCTGTTTCTGATGGAAAAGACTGCAACTGCACCTGAGCCTTTGTGATCTGTAGCTTAGGCAAGTAGTAAATTTAGCAATTTAGTGCAGTGACTATGGCTCCACATTGGATCAGTTCAGCTCCTCTCCAGATAGGAGCATGGTTAGATTCACAAGGCCATCCAAAAGACAAGGCATTGTTCTTGAGAGGGCTCTCCGTAATAAGGAAGATAATAAAAGCTGTGACACTGGTTGCCCTGTAGACCACTTCCCATTTCAAATCATTTTCTTTCTCTTCTTGGCTCTGAAGTGGTAACTTGCAGCATGCTGTAACAGTAGCTGCTACGGCATACCAAGGTGAGAGCAAGTGACCCTCCTCAAGCCCCAGAGCACTCAGTATTCAGTGCCATACAAAGGCAGTGACACTTTTAAACCTTTTGCCACAGTGCATTGCTGGCATTTGTAAGGGTAGGGTCACATAACCCGAGAGATACGAGTGTCCACAGGCTGCCTCGCAGCCCTGCTATGAAACGGCTCCGTTTCCTCCTGCAGCAGGGGTGGAAATTTCCAGGCATATTTCGATCCCTAGGAGCAAAGCTTGGCTGAGGCTCCTGAAGAAGGCAGTATTCAGGATCTGGCCAGATGTGTGCAGCAGAGGAAACAGCACGGCAGGAAGGTGGCAGAGTTGCTCTGACTAACCGGAGGGTCACAGGCTTTCGCACCCTCCGACAGGAAAAACACTTATTTAATGGAAAGGAAGGTTAACATCTCGGTTTCTTGCAGGGCTGGGTGAAAGAACAGCCTTCGCCTGCTGCAGAAATCACGCGAGGCAATGCAGCAGCTTCCTCTCACACAGCCCGCAGCGACCCAAAGGGCAGGATGAGCCTAGAGAATATTGTCACACACCGGGGGGCAGGGGAAGCGCCTGCAGCGCTGCCGCTGCTGCCTCCCCTCCGCGACCACCAGAGGAGCCGTACGGAGGTGACGGGGCCGCTCTCTCTGGCCTTGCAGACAGGGCTAAGGGCTTGAACCGCCGACCGGGAGGCTCAGGACCGTTCCTGCCCTGGGGGAGTGGCCGGTGCCCTGCGGGCGAGCGTTTCCAGGCAGGCTAGGCCGGGCCGCGCCGGGTCGGGTCGGGTCGAGGCGGGGTATCCCGGCGCGGGGGGCGGTGCTGGCGGGGCCGGTTGTCTCCGCAAGCGGCGCGGGGCGGGCCCTGCCCGGGTCCCGCCCTTGGTGGGGCGGTTGCAGCATCGGCGGCTACGGCTACGGCTACGGCTACGTGCGCGGGGTGTCGCGGCGGGTCGTGCCGGTTCGGAGCTGCGGGGAGCTCTGAACCCGCCGCGGCGGTGGCGGCCGCGCCCATGGCGAGCAGCAGCGGCGGCGGCGGCAGGTAGGGTCGGGCGGGGCGGGGGCCCGCTCCCCCGGCCATGGCGCAGACGGAGCCCCCGAAGGCGGTGCAGCTGTGGCGCGACGCCGCCCTTCGCGCGCGGAAGCTGCGGGGCGGCCCCGGCGAGCCAGAGCCGGAGCCCGAGCCGGACGCGGGGCCGCCGGGGGGGCCGCCAGCTCCCCCCGCCGCCGCCGCCGTGCCCCGCCGCCTGACCTCGGCGGCGGCCCTGGGGGAGCTGGAGGCTCTGAACCTGAGCGGGCGGGGGCTGGAGGAACTGCCTGAGGAGGTGGGCGCCGCCCTGAGCGGGCTGCGGGTGCTGAGCTTGCGGCGTAACCGGCTGGGCCGCCTGCCCGCCGCCGCCCTCCGCCACCTGGGCCGCCTGGCCGAGCTCGACCTCAGCCACAACCGGCTGCGGGGCTTGGGGGACGGCGGGGCGCTGGCAGAGTTGCGGAGCCTGCGCAAGCTCAGCCTCAGCCACAACGAGCTGGGCGCCGAGGGCCCGGGCCTGCCTCCCCGCCTCTCTGAGCTGGGCCGCCTCGAGGAGCTTGACCTCAGCTTCAACCGCCTGCGCCGCCTGCCCGAGGGCCTAGGCCGCCTGCAGCACCTCCGCACCCTCGACGTCGACCACAACCTGCTGCCCTCCTTCCCCGCCCCGCTGCTGGAGCTGGCTGCCCTGGAGGAGCTCGACTGCTCTGGCAACCGCCACCTCGGGGCCCTGCCCGAGGGCATCGCTGCCCTCCGCCGCCTCAAGATTCTCTGGCTGAGTGGCACCGGCCTGGCGACCCTGCCCGAGGGCCTCTGCCAGCTGAGTGCCCTCGAGAGCCTCATGCTGGATGGCAACCGGCTGCAGGCGCTGCCCGCTGGCTTCGGCAACCTGCAGCGGCTCAAGATGCTGAACCTCTCCTCCAATCTGCTGGGGGAGTTCCCTGCTGCCATCTTGGCTCTCCCCAGCCTGGAGGAGCTCTACCTGAGCCGCAACCAGCTCACCCTGCTGCCTCCTGGTCTTTGTCAGCTCCACCAGCTCCGAACGCTCTGGCTGGACAATAACCGCATCCGCTACCTGCCTGACTCCATCGTGCTCCTCCACAGCCTGGAGGAGTTGGTCCTGCAAGGCAATCAGATTGCCATCCTCCCTGAGGGCTTTGGGCAGCTTTCCCGAGTCACCCTCTGGAAGATCAAAGACAACCCCCTCATCCAGCCCCCCTATGAGGTGTGCATGAAAGGCATCCCTTACATTGCAGCCTACCAGCAGGAGCTGGCCCACTCTCAGCCTGCCCTCAAACCCCGCCTCAAGTTGGTCCTTATGGGCCTAAAAGATGCAGGAAAGACCTTGCTGAGACGGTGCCTCATGGAGGAGGATGGGCCAAGGGAGGAAGTGGGAAGTCTGGAAGCAGGGAGCCCCCAGCTAAGGGGGTGCCCTGGACAGCAGGACAATGGAACATTGCCAGTTGGGTGTTGTCCCTTCCCGGAGCCTCAGGATGCTTCCTCAGCAGGGGTACCTGCCACACAGCAGCTGGAACATCTCCCCATTGAGCGACAGGACGTCCCTTCTCACATGCCCGTTCACCGAGTGAAAGGGGAAATATCGTGCCCTGCACCATCGCTGCCACCCACTGCCCCCCAGCCACCATCAGGACTGGGGCTATCAGGAGGCAGCAAGGGCATCGAGGTGATGGACTGGACAGCAGATGCAGAGAGGGGCCTGACATTCATTGTGTATGAGCTGGCAGGGGACCCGAGCTATGATGTTATCCAGTCTTTCTTCCTGTCTCCCGGAGCCCTGTATGTGCTGGTGGTGAATTTGAGTGCCTACGTCCCTCAGCACTTTTACCCCTCTGTAGGCTATTTCTTACACTGGCTTGGTTCCAAGGTGCCCCATGCTGTGGTGTGTATGGTGGGAACCCATGCTGACCTCTGTGCGGAGCGGGAGTTGGAAGAGAAGTGCCTGGACATCCATCACCAGATCGCTCAGCAGGAGAAGAGGGATGCTGAGGGACTCCAGAGCTTGGTCCAGCAGGTGGATGAGGCTCTGGGACAGGACTTTGACCTGCGCTGCTCCAGCCCGCACGCTGCCTTTTATGGGGTCTCGGACAAGAACTTGCGGCGGAAGAAAGCCCAGTTTCAGTACCTGCTCACCCACCGCCCGCAGATCCTCTCTCCAGTGCTGCCTTTCAGCTGCCGGGACCGCTGCCAGGTACATCGCCTGCGGGACAAGCTCCTCTCGGTGGCTGAGCACCGAGATATCTTCCCAAACCTGCACCGTGTGTTGCCCAAATCTTGGCAAGTGCTGGAAGAGCTGCACTTCCAGCCACAAGCTCAGCAACTGTGGCTCAGCTGGTGGGACTCTGCCCGGTTGGGCTTGCAGGCAGGCCTGACAGAGGATCGACTCCAGAGTGCACTGTCCTACCTGCACGAGAGTGGGAAGCTGCTCTACTTTGAGGAGCACCTCACCTTGCGGGAGTATGTGTTCCACAACCTGCCACGGCTCATTGACATCCTCAACGTCTTCTGCCAGCGGGATGCTGCCGTGCTGCTCCAAAAACTGCTCAGCGACACCCAGATAGATGAACTGAGGGCCACTCAGCTCCATCATTACGTGGAGGGCTTCTTGCTGCATGGCCTCCTGCCTGCCCATGTTATCCGTCTCCTTCTTAAGCCCCACATCCAGAGCCGGGAGGATCTGCAGCTCATCCTGGAGCTGCTGGAGAAGATGGGGCTCTGTTACTGTGTCAACAAACCCAAATGCAAGCCCTTAAATGGGGCGGCCGCTTGGTACAAGTTTCCTTGCTACGTGAAAAACGAGGTGCCCCATGCAGAGGCTTGGATCAACGGCGCCAGTCTGAGTGGACAGTCCTTCGTGGTCGAGCAGCTGCAGATAGAATATAGCTTTCCATTCATTTTCCCACCCGGCTTGTTTGCACGCTACAGTGTCCAGATTAACAGCCACGTGGTTCAGCGGTCAGATGGCAAATACCAGATCTATGCCTACCGGGGAAAGGTGCCCGTGGTGGTGAGTTACCGGCCTGCCAGGGGAGCTCTGCAGCCAGATACTCTATCTATTGCTAGTCATGCATCCCTACCAAATATCTGGACAGCCTGGCAAGCTATTACCCCTTTAGTGGAAGAACTGAATGTCCTGCTCCAGGAATGGCCGGGCCTGTACTACACTGTGCACGTCCTCTGTTCAAAGTGCCTTAAAAGAGGGTCACCCAACCCACACACTTTTCCAGGTAAGGCACAGCCCAGCTTGCCTTCCAGCCCTCCTGGGGCTTTGTCCCTTGCAGAAGAAAGTCTTATCATGTTGGTCTTAGCTCTGTCTCTTTTCTTTTTCTCTTTTCGTTTTCTCTAACTCCCTTCCCTGGTGACTTGAGTCATGGGAGAAAATATTAGGGTAGCTCCAAGGAGACAGGCTTAAAATAACCCTATTCTGAGACCAGGGGGATGTTACATGCCATTTGTCCATGCCTTTTCTCTCTGCTTTTTGGGGTTTGGCCCTGGACATTCACAGTGCCATTGTTGAAAAGGCCCTTATCTGTCTTTCTCCTTGTTTTGATTCCTTTGAATAGCACTGTGGGTTTTTTTTTTTTTTGTCCTAATTCCCTTTACCCTGCAGCTCCCCCATCTTTGGGGCTATTTGTAAACATAGATAGGGATGCTTAAAGGACTGCAAGTATCCCCTTCTTCCCCCTTCAGTCCTTCACCCCCAAAACCTGGCCTGTGCTGCTGTAGCCTCTCTGAATACAGAAAAGCTGCTCCTGGAAGACAATGGGTGTGTTGGTCTCCATAGGCCAGTATAAAATGCCTTTTCTCATATCTGAGTCCTGTCTCTTGCAGGAAGCTTTCCTCCCTCAAGAGAGAGCGATACTCCATGTTCTTTGTTTAAGTGTCTCACCTAAAAGGGATTCCCGGACTACACCTTCTGGAGCTGTTCTTAAGAGCAGTTATTTTCCTTCCTCTGTGCCCTTCATCTAACAAAAAAAAGCATAGTCTCTGTCCTCTGGAGTGTGACTAGTCATTGTGCTTTTTAAAGCTTGATTTTACTGCTGGTGTTTTCCAGCAGCATCCAGTTTACTTTGTGTATATGCAGGTACTGCCTCCTAACAAGTAACCTCCCTGCACCCACTCTGGGTGTGTGGGGGCCATAGGAAATGTGCTCCATTGTGTAGGTCTGCATGGACTCAAAACACACGCTGGACTGCAAGCAGCTCTCTCGAAATGCACAGTTTATTTACACACACACACATACACCTATGTTAGAAATATGTTGGAACGTTCTTTATTTATGGGTAGCTAGAGTGATTTGGATTAAAACAAGTACTGGTGCTGAATTGGTTCATAGGCAAATGTGAATTGTAAGGTGTGTTTTGGGGGTTGGCTTTTTGTTTGTTTTATTGTTGCTGTTTTGGGGGGAGGGGATGTCCAGTTTGTTTGTTTTTCTTTTTATCTGAGAGTAAGGAGATGCTGTTTCCTCCTCAGCCTGAATCCTGGCTCCGTTTGTTGTGTCTCCCTCTAACTGTGCTAGCTTATGTAAGATCCAGTGGACTGGGGGGTGGTGAGCCCATGCTGCCTGAGTTACTGAATGGTATCCATATGCTGGGTCTTGCTGCTGACTTGGTGCTTGGAGTAATGTGATCTGCCTTCCAAAAAACCCTGTGAAAACTAACAACCCCAAACCCACCACCATAAGAACCCCTGCAAGAAACAGAAAAGCCCCACCAAAATTAACCAGGGCAGCACACTGTGTGCAGGTGTGATGGGTGGCTGCTGAAGGTTTAGGTTTGTGAATAATTCAGGTCTGCAGTTGTATATCTCCTTTTTTCTTTCTTTTTTTGGGGGGGGGAGGGAGTGGGGGGGGGGGAATGGGAGGAGTATGTGTATGTAAGTGTTTTGTGGCTGACCCTTGTTTTTCCCTGGTGAGCAAATGATGCTTTAAAAGTAAAATACAAATAGGATCTGGACTATGCAGGAGGTTGGTATCTTTGCTGACCAGTGACAGGCAGAGGAAGCGTAAGGGGGACACTGAAATTGAAAGGCCTTTCCCTCGGAATTTGGCTGTGCTGCATGTATTTCCTCAGACATGGGAAAGGATTGCTGTCACCTCGGAGCCAGGCTGGGTGTGTTGGGAAGCGGAGTCATAAGTAAGCAGTGTGTGGTTGGACATGGAAGGAGCAGGGGCTCAGAACACCCCTGAGTGATGCTGTCTGTGGAAAGGGGGTGTCAGTGTTCCCAGCATTCTCCAGGGAAGAAGCCAGGCCTTGCTGCCAGGGACACAGGGCTTAATATCCCAAGTGGCCTTGCCTCAGAGCAGGGGATGATTTTCTTAACACGAATACTATGTGAGTCTAGCTGGGGAGAGAGTACGTTGAGAAGACAGACATATTTCAAAGGCAGATTTAATCTGTGGAAGTGCTGAAGAGTGACTAAAGGCTGCAATTTATCAAGAATCTTGCTTGTCCTCTTGGATGATGCTTAATTCTAGCCCAGCTATGACCTGGATTGTATGAAAAATGTGAACTCTGATTTGGCTTGGTTAAAATCTGCATTTAACCTAAAATATTCTTTGCTGTGTATCTGCTCTGAATAAAAGGCTGTTTAAAAGTCCCTAAATGGCAGTTGAGAAGCTGAAGACGTTTTTTTCCTCCTGATTTTGTTGATCAGGAGGTATGCATGTTTAAAGTCATGCTGGCAAGCTTGCTCTCATGCAAGTGAATTGTGCTTGGCATCACTTTTGACAGGGTGTAGGAAAGCGATGGGTCTAATGTTATGAAAATATGTAGTGAGGGAGATGTCTATGTTTCTTTTCAAGCTCTTCCAGCAGAAATCCCTGGCAATTACAACGCTGCTAATTCTTAAATAGGGCTGTGGTCTTTTTAGGACTGCACTGAAGAACTGCTTTGCAGTGTGTTGACCTTAATAAGGGAAATATTTCTGTGGAGACACTGCCAGATTTGTGCTCAAAAATGGAAGTGCAGGGTGGCTGTGTGTCTGGCTGCACAATCTGTGTCATCATTCATGAAACCGATGGGGCATTCTTCGGTCATCCAAAATTTTCGTTAGAAGGGGTTGGTTGCTGGTGAGTTAAGGATTAATCCTTGCTTTTCCTCTCCTTCCCTTTCTGTCCTGCATGCACACGCTCTGTAACTTCCATTGATGATACAGAAATTCTCTAAGAACAAGCTAGGGTGTATAGAAATGGTTAGTAAGAATTGAGATTTTGAATTGAGTCTTCTGAGGGTTTATTGCAAACAGTGAATAAAAGGGATATAAAAATGCCTTGATAGGGTCCTTTTAAGGAAGTTTCTGTGTTTGAAATAGTTTTGTAGCTGGGTGAAGTAGTAACTGAATTGGCATCTGAGCTGGAATCTGTGTGCTTTGAGGCTGGAGTAGCCTACTCAGCTGATAGGTAGTGTGTAGATTTTCTTTTTTTCTCATTTACATTTGTACTATATATGAATAAAAGTATCCCTGCTGGGCTAAGAAAGGCATATTTGTGCTTGGAGATACCAACAAGAATGGTTCACCACTCCAACATGATGAGACCTTGACTGGGTTGTTGCTGGCATTATGAAACACTGTGGTTTTGTATGTGATGTCCTTTTAGTGCCTGGACTGAAGGGCTTTTAGGTTATTCATGTCCCATAAACTATTAAGTGACTTGGGTCTGGGGGTGGAGGTGATTTGCCATCTGCCTGATAGTAGATGTGTGCTTTGTTTGGAAAAACGTGACTGGATTTTCCAAGCTTGCCTTCCTGTGCACCTGCTACTGCTCTGCTGCTGTCTCCTCTTGCCCTGTGCTAGGCTGAAGCTGGGCCACCCTGGGTTCTTCCAGGCTGGGGTCTGTACAAGGTGTCCTGATGTCCAACATGGAATACTTTTGGTTTTTGAGGCGGGGGGATTGTTTGACCAGTGGTTTTCCTTTATTCCTGCCTATGAAGTTGCCTGTATGAATGCAGACATAGGAAAGCTGGAGCTTGTGTCCACTGCAGAAAACTGGCAAAATGCTGTCACAGGCAAGACACGATGATCTGGGTTTTCACAGAATAAGGGTGTGACAACAGAGAGACAGCCATGGACAAAGGTACTGTATGTAAGCCCAGCAGCCCCTGCCTGAAAAGATGCTGCAAAGCTATTTGGGAAGCTTTGAGAGCATAAACTTCTTTGGTGGCCAGCATGGAGTCAGGAGATGGAAAGGCAGAAGATCCCGTGATGTGACATGCTGTCAGGTTGACCATGCAAGGTGAGACAGGAGCAGGTGGGACTGGTTTTGTCAGAAGGGCTCAGAAGTAGCTCCGAAATCTGAGCTGCCACTTGGTGAAAGGCTGATGTCAGGTATCTAATTGTGCTTTGTAATTAAATTGCATGGAGCTGTTGGGGTTATTTTTCCACAATGGCAGTAGAGCAACACCTGCTTGTTACAGAGCCTGATGCTGGCATTTGGCAGCCTTTTTTTTTTCCTCATTTGAGGGTGGAGTCCTTTTCCCTGACTTTCAAAGTAGATGCTACAGATGTTTTGAGGCTGGGGTCATGCTCTCCTGAAGGCTCTGGCTTCAGCAGAGTACTGTAGTGTAATCAGACAGTGGGGCAAGATTTCAGAACACTGTGAGGACTGGACAGGGATGATCTGGGTGGCAACATAAAGCTGAACAAGGCCCTGTGATTCAGGAGAACATACCAGTTGCTGGACTTGGGGAAGCTAGTGTGATTCTGTAGCTCTAGTGGTGATGATTTAGTTTACCAGCCAAAGCTGATTTCTGTGCTGTTGAAGTGACAACCTTGAGTGGTGTGACTTGTTGTACATGATATAGAAGCACAGTCTATTTACCACTAGGGAACTTTAGAGATTTTCCTTCACATTAAGCTGTGTGTTATGTGGTAAGCACCTGAGGTCCTCTTGCTTGGTGCCTGTGGCAAAACAGCAGATTTGGGAAGAGGAAATAAACATTCTGTGATATTGGAGAGTGCAGAGAAATTACCAGAGGAAGAGTGTGGTGTGCAGTGTGAATGGCTGCTCTGGGGCTGTGCAAGGTGGGGTTTAGATGTGGGAGCCAGTCCTTGGCTGGAGTAGCCAGCACAGAGCTGGGCTCATGAGGGAAGATCTGGCCCAGGAAGACACAGGAACAAAGGGGTAAACTCAACTGTGGATGCTGGAAGAGAGGCTGAAGCTTTGTGTTGCCACCTTAAAGCTGTCCTGTTGCCTGCAGTTTCTGGTTACCTTGTATTGTGTGCATCC